TGTTGTTACATTTTCTCTACTTCATACAATATCCTACTTAAACTGTATCCTTTCATTACCTGGTCCTACGTTGTAGATCACTGACCGATTGACTGTATCCTTTCATAATGTTATTTTTTTCATGATATGTTTACTATCTACATGTCAAAAAAAAAACTTCCGATTTTTTCTCCAATACTCACTTTGATATAAAATAAAATCTAGATCTATTTTGATTAATCTGCGTTATTATTATCATCGTTATTGTTTCTATTGTTCAAGTTGGTTAGTTTTTTTTCAATTATGTTCAAATTTTGCCTTCTGTTTGTCAGATTGTGTGTTATGGGATCATTAGATTCTGTACTCGACTGAGTCTTGTGACACTAACCATAGGCAATATCTGTATATAACACTGAATGGATTATGAATAGACTGGAAGAAAGTTAGAAGCATTCAAGCTAAGTTATTGTATGTATTCATGAAGTTATTGACTATTAATTTGAGCCTTATTAACAAGTACAGTCTACCTAATTGAAGTGAGAAGCCAATAATCACAGTCAGTAACTAGAAATGTTGCTTGATATCCCTCAACATTTGTCATAGTAACCTAAATGCATTCATTCTGTATTCTCTTACATTCCAATATTATCTCATAAGTCTTGCTCTATCAATTCATTACTTTAAAATCATATTCTCTATACTTCTAATCTTGCTATAATTGATAATAAAACTACTCTATGTCATGCTGATTGCCTCTCATCGTGTTAATATAATGTAAAAACTTGAAAGATTCACATATCTGTGCTCACCCATACGTTCATTGTCTGACTGATAACTCCAATAGTTTAAACTCTTTAATTTTAATCATCAAGTCACTTATTCAAAATACAACATTTTCAATAGTTCTTTATTGATGTTTAATGATTTTCATCGTATATTGTAATAAGATAAATAACTTATCAATTTATGATTCTCTTCAATATTTATAGCTCTTCCAAATTAAGTTCATTCTCTTTTAATCAGCATTAACATAATCATCCTCTCACTTACAAAGTAAGAATAAGTCACGCACAAACCAATACAAATTAAATTTTAATCTATTGGTTTCAAAGTCTGTCGTATGTGTTATGATGTTTAATCTCAAAAGAAATCATTGATTGTCATAGAATTGAAAAACTATGAGATTAAAAGAAAAGAAACTGTTTGATTTTCAGTAAGATAAGACTATGCTTAGAAGAAATTTTTTGGAGATTTCAGTATTTTCATTGTTGAAATCATGAGTCAAGTGAAGCCACCATGGAAAGCCTGCAAGCACTGGACGGCCGTTTCGTCCTATTATGGGACTCCTCAGCAGTGCGCATCCACGATCCCGCCCCTCGAGATCCGAACCCAGGACCTACCAGTCTCGCGCCAGAGCACTGAGCCGGCATCCAACGGTGTTAATGTCTAACTTAGGGCGGGATGGTGGATGTGCACTGCTGAGAAGTCCCATAATAGGATGAAACGGCCATCCAGTACTTCCTGGTCTTCAATGGCGGTCTACCTTCAATTGACTCATGATTTCAATTATGAAAATAAGACTATGCATTTATCAGGAATCTTCATATTTAAAAAGTGCTATATTTATAAATATATCTGTTTTATTCTAATTGAAGAATATCCGTTTGTAGTATAAAACACTATACATGTCTAGTTGATTCGTTCAAAACTTATGTACTCATAACTCTTTTTATCACTTAACTAAGCTTGTTCATGTATTTAAATTTGTAAGTTACACTGTCGAATAGTTATCAATCTTGTGTTTTTCCCATCAATTTACTAATAGGAAATAATGATTTACTCACAGAAATTGTTAATAAGGTGAACAATTCAGTCGACATTTTCACTGTAAACATTAAAATTACAATAGTTATGACCAAACTAACATTAATCTGAAAAACAAGGTTTTACCATTCAACAATCCTAGACAGATAGTTCACTTATCTTGGAAGCTTCATCGACTAAGGTGAAACACTGACAAAATCTGGAAATGAATAGAAACGGTTCATCTTAATTTTAACAGAATGTTTACTGAAATGGAATCCAATGGCTACAAGTACTGGAGTTATATATGTCTTTGAAATATTTCTCGTATATGGGTAAATCACTGTATAAATAATATTGAGGTTAGGCATAATTATTCAAGATAGAAAAGCAGGTGGGAATTCTTCACTACCTTCGTTTACTGAAATTTATGTATGAAAAACAACGGGCAAATATAATATATGCTTTTTGGTTGTACTTAAGTTGGAAATTAGGGAGGACACAACTAACCTAATACATCAGATTGAGAAATTATCAACTTCCGGTTCAGCTAAGGTATATGCTGTTTATGCCGACAGATATAAGTTGTATGTAGGAGCAATCGGAAGTGGAATGCTTGCCAGCAGAACATTGAATTGAAGAGAACATAAAGGGAAACAGAGATTAGTTGGAATAGTTACTGAATCGGAAAGATCATGAAGTATGTAAAAGAAAACTGATGTAAGATGTGTGAATAATTTATTTAATGTATGATTTTCATATTTTATGAGAGTACTGTACATTAAACAATAAGTTAGTTTACCCCACCTGAGTTCTTGTCCACTTCATAACCTCTAGGCAATTTTAAGCTATCTTACTGACATTTTAAAAACCAGTGGTAGTGTATTTTAATTTAGGCAGTGAATCTAAGTGCCAATAATATAATGAGAAATCCTTGGAAAGTGTTTCCCTATTGTTACAGGTATCTCTTATTCATAAATTTCAACAAATATGAAGTCTGAATAAAGTGAAAGGTTTCATTGATCCATCCAAATACTTTACACAGTTTGATAGGTATTTACCAAAATTAAAAAATAAACAAAGTTACATGAATCACAGTTCAATGGTTGATTCTGAAAATCTTAATATATTTCGATAATACAAGTATTATTCTATGAATGTACTTTAACATATTAACTACCTGATTACAATCCAAGGTAATGATTTACAGGTTGTTTCAAACTCGACTCACAATCTCTAAAATACAGGTTGCAAAGCCATCCAATCAGAATATTAAAATGTCTGACCCATAATTTGTGAAATGACTCTTCGATTGATTTGAATCAAATTTAAAATTAGGCTGTTTGTTTAAACAATTTTGTTTAGGCTGAATTCTATTGAAGATAAGAAGTGTAAAACCCACAGATACCTAATCGTCATTCTTAACAAATATCCTAAGTATCAATGCCAAGGTTGATAGTTTCAAATAAGTTGAGCATTGGGTAGAAAGTTAATAAATATATTTCTTTTTTATGTCCCAATGAATAGAAAATTATATTTCTAACGTTTCTTGGCTGAATATCAGCTACCAAACGTCAGAAATATAATTTCTTACTCATTGGGACATAACAAAAAATATATTTATCATTATATATCGTCTGTTGATGCTCTAGAGTACTCGTCTATCAAAATGTATTGATTTATAGGGGTAATGATTTGTAACTTCTAAACATTTGACTTACACATTTTAAAAGACCCATCTTGTTTTGTTATTTCGATAAAAGTTGCAAGATGATAAAACGGTGAGACTAGCTAGGTGAACACAAGAAAGGGATATGTGAATGTAATGATTTGTGTGAATGCTGCGACAGCTTCTATGGCTTCATGTCAAAGCGGATGATTATCTTAAGCAACCATGGCAAAGGTTTTGTTATAGAGATACGAAACTTCTTTATTGCAACCAAACAAATGGTATTCAAGAATGATATCGCAAGTTACATGCCCATGTAATCGGTGCCTAAATAGATTCATCCCTTCAGGATTTCAAAGCCCATGTGCACAATTGGTATAAAATGAGAGTTTTATGCCTCCTGGGTAAATCACCATAGTTCACCAATCCAGTTCAAGACACACATCTGATTTTGGTTTTACTTTAATGAAAAACGTTCTCGCCACTCGATGACAATAAGTAAAACCTAGGGGAAAGAACAAACTTGTTGTCATATGAGAGCACTTTGAGAAGAACTAACCATCTTATTGATAATAACAAACCATATAATAATCTTGGTTACTTATGTTAGCAATCTAAGCACAGTAAAGATTACATTGATCAACTAAATGAAAAATCCTGGTGGAGAATCAGATAACAAGCGTATATTCTACAAGTGTTTTGTAGATAACAGCAGATGTTTATCTAGTATTAGATTTCACATTTTATTCAAAATAATTCATAATAGAAATAGCTGTCAATCTTGTTTTAAATTTCCAATTATCTATATTATAATAAGAAGGGAGTTTTGTGGAGTTTTTTAGTAATTTTGTATAGTTCAGATCATGAGTCAATTGAAGCTAGACCACCATCGAAAACCTGGAAGCACTGTATGGCCGTTTCGTCTTATTGTTAGACTCCTCAGCAGTGCGTGTCCACAAGGTTTTTCCTGGAGTTCTAGTGAGAAGCAGTAACCAGTGGACTTTAACCAGGTCTCTGGGAGATATCAACTCACTGAAGACAGTGGTGAACAGTTGCTCAATTTCGTAGATTAGTTGAAGTTAGACATTAACACCGTTGAATACCGGCTCAATTGTCTATCGGTTAAGTGCTCTGGCACGAGACTGATAGGTCCTGTGTTCGAATCTCGCTTGTGAGGCGGGATCGTGGATGCGTACTGTTGAGGAGTGCCATAATAGGACGAAACGGCCTTCCAGTTCTTCCAGGTTTTCGATGATTGTCTAGCCTCAACTGACTTATGATCTCAACTATATCTATATTATAATTTACATTCATTATTTTAATTAATAATTGTTAATTCTACAAGTTTACGAAAATATTAAACTTATTGAATAAATTATTCAATAGTACCCTGTAATCTAATATTGATTAATTGACTTTGATTTTTTTTGTGTTTTTTTTGTTTTTCTTTCACTTTCAATTTACTTATTGTCTCTAGGAGAATTCACATTCTTTTTCTATTGATCAACCTTTGGCTTCATCAACTCAACAACCTAATTCTGATGTGATTATGAATTATTCTATTAATAATAATAGCACCATACCAAATAAATTCAGTAATGATAATCTTGAATATTTTTATGAAACAAAGGAATGGTATTTAAAATATTTTAGTCGGTATTGTGAAAAAGGTGAAAAACAATGTCAACATCCAAATTTTAATCAAACTACTCATGAACAAAACGATCATAAAATAAACAAGACAAAATATCAACAAAATGAAATAATGGAAGTGGAACAACCGAAGGAACAATTACCATCACAACAGCAACAACAACAAAATATGTGGGAAACATGGACAGAAGAATGTGATATTAAGTTGAAAATACGTTTAGCTGGTTTTGGGCATTTATGTATTTTACGTGGTAAAATGATACTTGAATCATATTTTTTAATTTTATCAAAGAAATGGATGAAAGCAGTAATTGTCGGTAAGTTTATGTTTTTTTTCAGAAAAACGAAGTGTTTTTTTAATTTATAATATTTTATTATAAATAGATGAAGTAGTTTCATTCAATTTAGAGCTGTTCAATGTCACTCTGTTTAACTTACAGTTATGTTCAACTGATTATTATAATTTAGGAGAGGAACGCAACAGTACTCGTAATTGCTTATTACCAACAAAAAATAATTTTTAGTTGTTCTTTTTAAAGCCTTTGTCCCAACTAATTGTTTATTTTCATCAAAATAATTGAACGATCTACGTTGGACCACCGTTGAAAACCTGAAATCCCTGGACGGCTATACCATCATAGTATGAGACTTTTCACCAATGAACATTCACGAACACGCTGACGGAATCAAACTCAGGACCTCCAATATTGCTCATGAACCCTTAACCTTTAGATCACTGAGCCGACTTCCTATAGTCTTAATATCTGTGGTTATCTCAGCAAAAGTAGTTATCTCCAGGACTATTTGAAATCAGGATGTATTTTGCTATCGGTTTATCGTGGTTTGATTCTGTCCCATAATACAAATGTTTTTTTCCATGTGTCATCCGCGTCCTAGATTACTAGGTATTACTGTAGATACTGTGCATCAATCACTGCTCCATATTTATATTTCCAACGTATTGTTTAGCACTGTCACCTTAAATTTTGAGTACTGAATGGTTTTATAAAGTTTCACGAACTAATTTTTGTTACAAACTTCTTGTTCATCTTTTTTTTCAAAACACTGGCTAAAAAATTACCAAGAATCTTATGAAGTCAAACGACCTATGGACATTACTTTTAAGGACTGTTATTTTTTTATCCATTAAAGAAGCCCTCCTAAAGGTTTTAATATTTAACTGCAAGAGATAATTCCTGGAGTTCTAGTGAGAAGCAGTAACCAGTGTAGTTCAAACCACGTCTGTTGTGAGATATCAACTCACTGATGACATTGGTGAATGGTTGCTCAATTTCATGGATTGGTTGGAGTTAGACATTAACACCGTTGGATGCCGACCGGCTCATTGGTCTATCGGTTAAGTGCTCTGGCACGAGACTGATAGGTCCTGTGTTCGAATCTCGCTTGTGAGGCGGGATCGTGGATGCGTACTGTTGAGGAGTGCCATAATAGGACGAAACGGCCTTCCAGTTCTTCCAGGTTTTCGATGGTGGTCTAGCTTCAATTTACTCATGCTTTCAGCTATGAAAATACTGAAATCTCCACACAAACCACTTCTGATTATAACCAAATTAAGTTGAGGGAGAATAATAATAATTTTCAATGATATTACAAGACTGAATTTGAAAAAAATATGCATATTATATAGACTGTAAATACGACTTATTTATCTTATTTCTATCCCATATTTTTTCGCTATCTAGGTGGAGATGAAGTTATGATTCAAATAAGACAATCCAATAGAATCAAACGATTTCGAATGCAATTTTTCAATGAGACCGATGCAAATGATTTTTTTATGAATTTATCTAAATTTGCTGCTACTAATACTACCACTACTACTACTGCTACTACTACTACTAGTAATAATAATAATAATACTTCAGTGAATAGTAACGAATTAGTAAAAAAGAAAGGTAATATATCAACAGAATCTATTCTAAATAAAATGTTGAATAATCCTGTTCAATTACCAGAAAGTTGGTCTACTGAATGGCCAACTCAAAGTTTAGAAGGTCTTATACGATTATGTTTGATTGATCCAAATTTTCCAGGATTCGTAAATCGAATTGATGGTATTATGAAAAAATTTACATGTACATTGAATGATTCATCATCACAGTAATGATGATGATGATAATCTTCTGTTTTTGGTAAAAAGTTGATCGGAGAAAAAGATTGGTTTAATGTTTTTCAACTAACACATTAAATTGACCAAGTTTCTGTTTGTTTCAATTAATTAAATGGTCGGTTGTAGTTAATAAAATCTTTATTTGAACAGTTTCACTTCTGATTTTAAATACATTTTTCATTCTGAACTAACATCATTAGGAGAGATAGTAGCAATGAAAAAATGTTGTACAGTTGCTTCAACTTCACTCAACTAGTCATAACCAATATGAAACCTACTACAAATCCATGTTAGCGTAATTTGCCTTATTTACGTCATAATTTATTTGTGTCCCTGTTATAACGTAAGTCCCGTCAAATATCACGTGAAAAAATCACTAATTAGAACACCGACTCATTAGACCATGGTACTGTTCCAAATCAATGACATATTAACTAGCTCGAGTAATCTAGAGTCAACTCTGAGTCCTTATTGGTTCCTCTCAGCTAGCCCTATCCGTTCGAGCCCAGAGCACAGCTTCACCTTCCACTGTATGAACCATGTATTTCAGGCATACGCAGTTTATATAAAAGTGATGTGTAGGCGAGAATGATAATGATTGGTTGTTTTGCTGAGGTTGACATGATGATAGTGTGACAGGTGTTATATGTGTTATATATTCCCCTATCCTGATTACTGTCGATTAACTGTTCTTTGTTGTTGGTTTGTGTCAAATTTTGGTGTGGAAATATATTAACGCTCTAGTCAGGCTAATCTCGTGTTCTCGATCGGAGTTGTGTTGAAGTCCTGTAGAATAGACACTGGGAGGGAATCTAGTGTAAATATTCGTCTAAGGTAAATTAACGTCCCACATGCGTATAAAAAGTAAAAGGACTGTTATAACAAGAAACCCTAGCGTTATAACAAGTATCCTACCTTTATAACAAAAAGCAAATTAGATCACGTCATACCATGAAATAGAAAATAACAATCATACAAGATCAAGTCAAAAGTGGATGAGAATGTGAGAGACTGTAACTAATAAATTGGGAATATCTTAAAAATAGTAAATCGTATAATAGTAGTCAATAGGTCAAATGAAAGCTTACGATGAAAGGAATATGAATATGTATACAATATAGTTACTTAATAATTATACGATAGGAATATATATATAACTTGGAAGGGAAGCGGAAAAGAGGAAGGCCAAAGAACACATTGCGCCAGGAAATAGAAGCGGATACGAAAAGGATGAATAACAACTGGAAAGAATTGCCCAGGACAGGGTTGGATGGAGAATGCTGGTGTGCAGCCTATGCTCCTCCACGAGGGGTAACAGGCGTAGGTTAGTAAGTAATATATATAACTGTCTATGAATGGATCCCGGAGGTTATCCTCGTTAGGGTATAACAAATATTATTGATTATAATATTCACTTTTATGATTTCAAAATGAAATTTATTTCAAACTTCTATTAATATTATAAAATCCTTCTCATTGTTTCTGCAAAATTTAATATACCTCAAATGAAATTCAAACTGAATTATGTAATGAATGTTATAATATTGAAAAAAAAGTTAAATTGTTCAAACAGATTGTTTATTTAACTATGAACTCTAAATCAATGTTCCTTTTTTGAATGTCATGGTAACCTTATAAACTGACATGAACAATCTCATATAAGGATAATATTGGTCAATAATCCATCATAACAACCATCATCATCATTATCATCAATATGATTATAATAATAATCATTATTATTACCAAAATTTTCTTTGATATTTCTCTTCTTTTTTCTTTTATCCCTTAAATAATGTGCATAAATTATCATAATTTTTTTCAAAGTTTATCTATGAAAACTTAATCATATTTTGTTCTAGGTTGAATATGTGTTACCATGATAACACACGTGATAAATAACTTGTCAAAAGTATTCATGGGTGGATTAAAAAAAAAAGAAAGAGAATACTACTGATTAAATGTTATCAGTAGTAGTTTTATTTTCTTTTTATTCACGATTATTCTTTTCTCTACCTTGTTTTTTATTATTCTTTTGTTTGTATGTGTATTTAGTTATTAAATTTATTGTAATAATAATGATTTGATAGGCATCCATATATTTATTCTATTATAGATTTTTTTTATCAATACGAAGGTAGAGGAAAGATTAAAAAACGGACATATATATGGGATAAATTATTAAAAATCAGTTATATAAAATAATGGTATGGTGATTAGCCTTGAAATGGAAGATGGGTGTTCTATCGTATTCGGGACTCAGCTGGATGTATCTGTATATTGTTGTTAATGTCCATACCGGGACTCGAACCCACTACCTTTATTACTAAACATTTCAAGAGTTATCAGCTGAGCTATTGAGTCAAGATGACCACTAGATTGTTTATATCATGAGTGATATATAATTTGTGACATAATGGATACATATAGGTTAAGAAAGACTGATTAACACAGTCCAAAATATCAATACGAGGATAACTCATACTTTTTTCCCATTAACGACATAAATACTCTGTGTTTCTGCAAAACTACTCTATATTTCTTATTCTACTGTATTGTTTATGTGACGTAGTATGTTCATCCTTTATCCAAATCAATCAATAAAATATTGAATACATGAATCGAAGTATGGAAACTAAAAGATAACTTTGAGTTACATTTACCCTTATTATGAATTTATCATGTAAAATATTAGTGAATAAACACAATTTTAGAAAACATCAATCCATCTCCTAGAATTAATAGGTGTTCTCATTATAATAGTGACTTATAGATACGCGAAATTGAGCAACCATTCAACAATGTCATCAGTGAGTTGATATCTCCCAATAGACCTGGTTGAACTCCACTGGTTACTGTTTCTCACTAGAACTCCAGGAAATACCTCATGGACCCAGTCACTAGTGAGCACATGATCATTATCAAAAAGGGTTCTGTGGAGATTTTAGTAATTTCATATAGTTCAGATCATGAGTAAGTTGAAGCTAGACCACCATCGAAAACCTTAAAGCACTAGACGGCCGTTTCGTCCTATTGTGGGACTCCTCAGCAGTGCACATCCACGATCCTGCCTGGCGAGTGACTGGCTCAATGAGGTATATCCTTGAGTTCTAGTGAGAAGCAGTAACCAGTGGACTTCAACCAGGTCTGTTGGGAGATATCAACTCACTGAAGACAATTGGTGAATGGTTGCTCAACTTTGTGGATTGGTTGAAGTTAGACAGTAACACCGTTGGATGCCGACCGGCTCAGTGGTCTATCGGTTAAGTGCTCTGGCGCGAGACTGATAGGTCTTGGGTTGGAATCTCGTGAGTGCAGGATCGTGGACATGCATTGCTGAGGAGTCCCATAATAGGACTAAACGGCCTTCCAGGTTTTCGATGGTGGTCTAGCTTCAATTGACTCATGATCTCAACTTTATAAAACTACTAAAATCTCCACCAAACCCCTTCTGATACTTATAGATACATTTACTTTACATAACTGAATTTATTGGCATAAACATTCTTTCTTCAATACGGTTATCTGCATGGAAATTAAACCGGAAAAATCTGTTATACTGGTCCAGTGATTATAAGTTAGAAAGACAGCTGTACAAGTGTTGACATTAATAATGATGGACATTTTTAACACAAATACGTTTGATGAATTCAATAGTTTTAAGCAGTACAGCATTGTTTACATTCAATGTTTGTATTAAGACTACTTTATATAATAATATATGACACTTATGAAATAGAATATGTGTGAAAACTGACATTGGAATTATCATTTGGATAAGAGGGTGTGAAACAAAAGCGTAAAATTCCAAACAAAATATACCATTTGCAAAAAAAGGAAATTCTGTAAATCATGAGCTACGTTTTACCAGTCAGTTAGTACTAACTAGTTGTTATATCTTGCGGCCAAATGGATCCCCAGGTAATGTATGAAGTGATAAGACCGCCAATCAGAGATCAGCGAATTATCGATTGGAACAGTGACACACGAAAACCGTACGAGCAGTCTAGAGTGCTGATCGGTCCTGCTTTCTGCCTAACACAGCCAGTAAAGCCCAGAACATTAATAACAGCCTCTGCAGTACGAATCATTGTATTTCAAACATACTGAGTTTATATACCAAACAGACTGACCACATTGTACCAATAAAATAAGAAATAACATTTGTACAAGATTCAGCCAAATGTGGCTGTGAATGTGGGAGGCAGCAATTTACAAACTAGGGATAACTCAATTATGAAAAATCGTATAATAATAGTCTATAGGTCAAAATAAAGCTTATAATAAGAGGAACACGAATACGATTAGTTTAGTTATTTTGCAATTATACGATAAAAAATATATACATAATATTGGTTCATAAATGGTTCCCAAAGTTACCATTTACTATTGTTATCGGGATATAACACTAGTACAGTGAAAAATAGAAATAAAATACGATGAAAAACGTAATCTTTAAATATATACAAATATTTATGAAATAAATAAAAGGAAAGGTTATTGAAATTAGAAGAGAAAATGCAAAGAAAAAGCATAAAAATCAATCGATTCATAAATACAAGTTCATATTGTTACTAAAAGGTCATCGCCAAGACCATAATTGATGGATAAACCAATGAAATCAAAGAGAGTCAGTTTTGGACTTTAGCTCGAAATTCATTCTTCCATGTAGCTAAATAATATTTTGACATAATAACTGATGTTATTTCGTGATGAAAACTCCAACTCGAATCCCTATCCCTAACTTCTAAGTTTAAATTTTGATCCTGATTTCTCACACCAGTTTATAACTTTGCTTGGACCCTAGTAAGCAGGTGAATTTCCTCGAAGCCAGTTTAGCGTCGCTAAAATATCGTCCACAAAGTAAAGTCTCACCGATAACCTCAATGATATGCTTCTAATTCATTCTTCAGCGATAATGTTTGCTGTTAATCGGTTGATTGTGATGGCTTTCGGTCTACTAACTGGAATATTTCCTCCAAAGTCATTGGATATTACTATGTTAAAATAGTTATTCCTTTTCTGTCTTCCTTTTTTTTACCGAAATACAAAGCTATCCTGAAAACAAAGTCTTCCATATCTCCTATTGGCAACTGAATTATTAACGTTGAAGTTTTGTTCTGTGTCATACATCTGATCTATCAAAG